ACACACAGACAGCCTCTTCCCAATATGCGTTTTTGCAATTTACATATGTGCAAAAACGCATAAAAAGGCACAAAACTGATACGTTAAGTTTATGCATTTTCCTCAGAATATAAATACAAAATGCAAATGTTTCACAGAGATTATGCAAACTAGAGGCATGAAACATTAATTATAAAGTCTGAGAATTCTGTGAACTTATCATACTTTCTACTTCATTTCTTCTGTGCGGTTGATCATATGGGACGTCCGTCGAAAATGGGCAACAAAGGCCCAGCCGAGCAACTCTGTGTGTACAGACGATGCCAAAGCGTGCCGAGTGGATTCAAGGACAAAGCTGACTTCTGTTATAAACCAAGAAACTTCAGAAGCTGTACAGTGGATCGAGACGGAGCTGAACGACAACAGCAGATGATGGAAGCAAAATTCCAGACGCGACCACCACTGCAAGATGTGATACGCTCGAGATCACGGATCCGACGCATCAAACATGAGTTATGTTCCAAGCCAAGCGACCTCGTGTGATCATCACTTTGGCCGAGCAGACGGGCTCGGCCGCTACCCCGATACCTTACTAAATGTGCGCCGAAAACCAATAAGCAGCGAGCGGAACCGATGGAGCAGCGAGCACCACAGACGGACCAACACCAGCAGCAAACAGAACATGAAAATGATTCGAGGACGTTGTTGTATTAATTAATTATACGATTTCTGAAATAAATGTACTGCTGCAGCTCCGACGCATCACTCATTACTGGCCAGTAGTAGTCCATCAGAGCGGGCTTAGGATTATTCACAGGTGCGTGGTCAGACTAAGGGTCCTCTCGCTTCTCAGGATTCATTTCCATTTGACTTCTTTTTGTTTTTTGCTCCTATTTCTTTCTCTCTCCGTCGAATAAATTCAAAGCTGCGGTCCCGGCCCGCCAATCCACCCCAGATTTTGCACTCTCGCAGACTGAGCAGCACTCACCAACATTTCCCAATCGTTTTTTTTTTTTTTTTAGTTGCCGTCTTTTGGCCCTATTCAACCTTGATTTGAGGCATTTTAGTTCCACTCTCAGTGGAATATGAATGCCCTCCACCGCTGACGCCAAATTTTTATTTCAACGGCCAATTCTGCAACAAAACCCTTTACCACACTGCTTCTCGTAAGGTACTGTTGTTCATATCCTCACTTTCCCAATTCGTCAACAGCAACTTTGTCTTGCTCGTGCGCGTTAGCTGAATTTTATATTTTTAGCTCATAAATATACAGGGATTATCCCTGCAAATTTCCAGCTTTCTACGTCTGCCTATTTCCGCCAGGAACTTTATGTATTTTTCCAGAAGTTTACGTGAGACCTTGGAGCGCATGAGCGTTGATTTTAAAACGGAAGTGTGTACATGGTGTGGGAATACACAGCTTCAATTTTAGCCTCCCAATTCTCCTCGTTGCTGAATTTAAAGTGGGTGACAAAGTCTCTCAAGCTGCTCTACATCGTAATGAATGAATTCGAAGTCAAAATCCGATTATTGAGAACTCGGGAATACTGGATTGGGAGATTAATCTATCAAGTGTTTCCGGAGGAAAGAACTGCAGTCAGGTCCAAAGTCAGTGCATTGCCTTCAGGCTGGAACATCAACTCAGGCTGGAACGCACCAGGCTTACGGGTGCGATCATGCTTTTCGCGTTAGACTCGCGGGTCGCTGTGTATAGCAGGAATGATCTCTACTTCAGCTCATAATGGCCGTACTTGGGCCTCTTCCGGCATGCAGGAGAAAGGAGGCCGGTTGGTATGGAGGTGTTGCATTATAGAGCCGTGTGAATCTCCAGGTACATGATTACCAGTTTTTGTATGAAGCCCGGTTGTTTTTTTTTTCGGTAAATGCTCACTTTTTGAAAAAATGCAAATTTTCAGTTCATTAAAATGTGGAGAGCAGAATTAAGACGGGACATGAAAGTAGAATATCAAAGCGAAGTTTCAGCCTCGCACTTTATCCGGTAAGCGAAACATTCAGTTCGTTACAAATATCTTTGAAGTGCTCTAAGTCGCGGCGCAAATGCAAATCAGTACTCATTTTAGGTATACGGTTTTCCCAAGTTGTAAATTTTGACGTGATTGTACGCGCCGCACAAGCATGCGCGACAGTTGAATTTGAAATCTTTAGCTCCCACATGCAGAGATAATATCCGTGCAAAGTTTCAGCTTTGTACTTTGCCTGGTTCGCAAAATCGTTTCCCGCCAAAGAAATTTACATATTCTTTCGGGGGCCGTACGCACGGTCTAAGATCTTAAAACAGGAGGTTGACACAAGGGATAGGAGCATATACCCAAAATTTCAGTCTTCCAGTTTTCCTGGTTGATTAGATGAAAGTGGGTGACAAAGTTCACTCACTTCCGGACAAGAACACACACACACACA